CATTTCCCCTAATATCACACATTCATCTCTGTACATTTTACTCCCCCAACCAAGGTCTCCTATTGGAAAGATACCATTGATTAATGGATATATATATATATCCATTAATCAATTGTATCTTTCCAATAGGAGACCTTGGTTGTGGGAGTAAAATGGACAGAGATGAATGTGTGATATTAGGGGAAATGAACAGCTGGGAGAAGAGAAGGTAGGACGATAGGAAGGGCGGAGAAGGCAAGATGTGGCGGTTTAAAAGATGAAGGAAAATATGAAGAACATGGGTGGGGAATAAGAGGAGAACAAATTGGCTGATCTTTGTCAGGAAAACCGTAATCCATTAAAAACGTCACTGGAGGCAATGTCCCCCCTTAACAGTTGGTTACTTAGGTAGGGTATGCTATATATAACTCTGTTGCCCAAAAGATGAACAGATGTGCTTCGCAGAACCGGCTGCCATTGACATTTCAAAGGCTGCTTTGGGGGGTCTCTTGCACCTTACCATATGACACTGATGGCAGGGGATGTTGTTTGTTATGGAAACAGAAAGTAAATGACAAAAAAGGCAAGTGCTCTTTGACACCACCGTGCTGCGGAAGACATGATGATGACTAATGGCCATCGACGGGTCGCTGCTTGGCGAACAATACGACAAAATCCATAGAGGGTGGCATTCAAACCGCGAATTCCCCGGAGCAGCCTGCTTGTCGGCAGTTGTAACTGTTGTGAATAACTAATGTTGCTTGTTAGCATGGCGGGTAGGCTTCTGCAGAGTAGCGGGACGTTGGGGCAGCGTCAGAGAGCATCTATTGATCCCTACGAACGCTGCACAGCGTCGTTGTCCTGATGAGGTGCGGCTTCTCTCTTAACACCACACATGACCTGCATAAAGGCCATCCATCACAGCTCGTGCTGGCCCATTTCTCCTCCTGTCACCGGCAGGGAGGATTTTTTCCGGTGTGTATGTGTCAACTTGCGCCCACGTGTGTGTGTGTGTGTGTGTGTGTGTGTGTGTGTGTGTGCGCCTATGTCCGCACAAGTCTGTATCTGTGAGTGTGCGTGTAATGAAGGGTGGCGTTCCACCTCAGGTGAGGCCAGAGAGGTTTGGGGTTGACCTAGTTTAGCTGTGGGAGAGAAATATCACCTCCGTGGAGAAGAGGTAATTGGCTGCCTCCGACTGTCCTTCTGGCTCATTGTGGACTGTAATAGGTAATTCACATAGGCCCTTTTAAAGACCTCAGCGTGTGCGCCTTTGTGTGTGCATGTGTGTGTCCACCGTATGTGTGCCAGAATCCATTTGTGTGCATGCACGGCGTCCGCGCAGCCGCCGGTGTATATTTGTCCAGCGTAAGCGAGCCCTGAGCGAAGTACCTGGCTGGGGTTGGCTGTAGTTGCTCTGCCTTTCCCGGTGCGATCCGAGGGTGAGGCGCAGCTCGTGCGTGTAGTCGGGCAGAGTTTCGCGCGAGGTGTAGGAGCGGTGGTGGGCGCGGCCGTCCTCGCTCTCGTCGGACGAGCTGGTGTAGGACATCTCCATTTCATGGCGCCCCTTCGACAACGGCTGGTAGGGTTTACTGTCCATCTCCTCCATGGCTTGTAGGGCTCCGCTCAGTCACTCAGCACAGCCACGGCACGGAGCACGGAGTCTAGAAGGTGAGAAAATGATGGAGGGTAAGGTAAGGGGGAGGTATAGTGAGGGAGGCCGGAAAGGACAGAAGGGGGAGGGAGAAGGATTGGCCCGTAGGTGGGAAATGAAGGGAAGCGGGGGACGGGGGACAGGGGGGGAGAAAAATAACACGAGAATGTCTGTTATTGAACACAGCGGAACAATATTGCAACATCTGCTCATTCCAGTTACAGCGGACATTCATAAACGCTATTTGGCTACTTTCATATTTCACACCAAAGGTTAGTCCCGAATCAATACGCTCAGAAGAGACCGCGATGGCGGCCATTTGTGTTTCAAGAGAAATTGGCCAAAATCACAAGCACAGCACTCCGCGCTGTCAGTGGCGGTTCCTGTTTTCATCGGCTACTGTCGGCTTTGTCTCTCTTCCCGCAGACAACCATTGACAAGTCGCGGATAAATTCCGTAGTAACGATGAAACACGGCAGTCTTTACAGCGTCGTTGACACATCAGCTCCGTTCAGCACAGATTCTCTTGTTCCTCCCTCAAACATATCCAAATCTGTTTCTGATAACGTCTGGCAAATATGTGCGCACGTGGCTAATGATTGATTGGGACGACGATTACGGCACACGAGAAGTGATTAGAAAATGCTTCATTCATATTAGTTCTCTTTCACCGTGCCCTGCCCGAGGCCTTCCCAGCCTATTTCCTGCAGATATAAAGCTTCTAAATGGAGCTTGAGAGGGTCATTGCTCATAGAGACAAAGTGCTATGGTATTGACCTCTTCAGGGAGTCCTGTAGTCCATATATCAAAGCCATTAGAGCGTGCCTGCTCAATACCTCAGAGATCTGCAGCACCGGGTGATCACCACCAGTCTGATACAAGTTTACAGCTGACCTTTCTACCACTGCAGTCATGCTTTTATTCCACCTGAAAGACTCCTTCCCCTGGCCTCGTGCTCACCCTCATTCCCCGCATGCGCGCACAGACCACCCGCCAACCCCACACAGCAAACGGTCAAAAAATGAGCTAAGTAGCTTGCACGGTCACCCCACCCACACGCACACCCCCTGCAGACATTATCACAGCGCGGATGATCCCTTTAAAAGGCTCCACACTCGACTCTCCTTACGTCCGTCTCCTGCGTTTTACTTCTGTAATGATTGCACAAAAAGCATGGCGATGCCTTTAAAAACACATTTTTGCATCCCATTGCCTGCGCGGTAGCTTTAGCAACACTGCAAGCCCCCCCCCCTGCGTGACGCGCGTGTGCGCACTTGTGGCTCGCCGCGAGCACGGCGCTCCTCATTTTGATTGGCAGGAGTTATTTGGGGGAATCAAAGCCCGCTATTATCTCAGCTGCCCTGTCAGAATGGGATTGACTGGTGTCACCTTCTCTCTGGTGCGGCGAGGAGCGAGTATACATTACCCTGTGAGCTCCGAGCTTGCTGCAGGCACCGACTGCTGTCTGTCTCTACAGAGGCTCTCTGTCCTGTTTTATGTCTGTCACACGCAAGAATGAAAGCATGCAATCCTGGGCACACCATCTTGCCCCCCCCCCCC